ACAAAGAACATTTCTCCGGGCTGATAATGAAACCCAGTCAGCTGTGTCTAGTGCATCCAGTGAAGGGGACAAGCTGGTTACCTATCCATACAGTGCTACATTAAACTTGGATGGAGACACTTGAGTCTGAGTATAAATAGTAGTCGGGACTGTTCTAGACATGCAGCAGTAGGAGCACAATACATAAATTTATCTTTGTGCATAAATAATAATAAGTGAATGCAAACTCACAGAGCTCCTTGTTAGCAAAGCATGAAACACCAGAAAATTCTGGGTGCAACAAATACTTGAGTCTGAAAAACATTTTCACGAGACACAGAGGCCTCTGAAGGACCTCATCTCCACGAAATTGCTTGGAACCACTAATAAAACTAGTGTTCAGGAAGGCAGCAGGTACATTTGGCAATGCACTTTCCATGCACTGTCTGAATTCACTTTCAATGAGTGTGACACATTGAGGGAATCGAGTATAAGAGAGGGACTCACCCATCATTGTTGTGGAAGAATTCAGCCATTCCAACACCTATCTACACGAATCTGAAACAAAGATTTAACATTTGTTAATTTGGCCCATCAAGGCATGACATAGACTAGCTTTGTGAAAAGGCAGCTTTAGTAGAGAGAGTAACAAACCAGGAGGTGCCTGTGATAAATCTTAGATGACAGATAACACTTCCTCTTTTATTAATACTGTTGTCATGACCAGTAATTAATGAAGGAAAATCATTGATGGAACTCTACAAACATTAACTTGGCCGCTATGGGTAAAAGAAATGAAATCATTTGAAGTGCAAAATTGTCAGAACAATGACTTTTGCACTACTCATAAATATGACAGAATTTTATAAACCAGATTTTTTAAAAAGGTTACAGCCAAGAAACATATTCTTCTCAGCAAAGCAAACTGTAAGGACCTATTGGCAAACAAATAAAATTTAAAAAATAATAATAATTAAGAAAACAAGGTAAGTTGCCACCTGAACTGTCAAAAACAACATATTCAACAGGACAGAAGGGTGCATTGTAATGGGTTATACCAATTAAAATGATGTCAATTGCAATAAATATATTATTTCCCTAGAAAGCATGAAATATGTAAGTGGGGAAAACAACACAAAGGCACTTCACATAATATTAACCTTCCTCAAGGAGAGGAAGAAAAGGTTAAGCCTTCCATGAAAGTTGGATGTCACAAAGGTATTTCTGTCATCTGTTTACAACTGAATACCGGGTACCTGCTGCTGCAACCAGTAGTGAGAAAGGTCATCTTGAACGCCACGAAACGTCCAGCTTCGCTCGCGACAGATTTGCGCTGCCAGCCGCAGCAGCTAACCTCACTAAAGATTGAAAACAAACCCAGGGACAGACGGGACGGACGGACAGACGGCCTTTCAGCTCGCGTCGGGGCAAGACTGGCACAAGACCGCAGGATGACACACCGATAAAAGAATAGACCACTGCAGCTCCAACTGTGTCTTTACGCATGTGCGCATGTCCCAAATTATTGTACCATTATTCACTTGAGTACCCGTCCTCGGGGCCCCAATGGAAACTTACCCATGAGATGAATGAGCTGAAAAGAAGTCAACTACCGAAAGTTTAGTCCCATTTCCCGAGCCAAATCGCGACACCGCAAAACTCGAACAGTAAACACCAAATTGCCACTTCATAAAGTTCAAAAATATTCCAAATTGTCAGCAATGCGACAGATAATCACGAAACGGGTTCAAACAACAGAAATCGCACAAATTCCTATCATTTTGATCGCCATGACATTATTTTCAGTGCTTTCTAGAAGCTCGCGAACTTGGAGAGCAGCGCTCGGAGCAACAAGGTCGAACATGGATCTGTCTAAGGGGCGCTAAGAGCTGGGAAGGGAAACAAGAGGCGCAACAACCGTGCGTTGTCTCTCTCGCTCTCGCAGCGGCCGGGCAGGAGGCGACGAGGACAGCGAGTGCTCGAGCGTAGTTCGGACGCGGCCCGCCGGCCGCAGCGGCGCAGCGCAGCGCTAGCGTCGCCCGTGGTGTGTACACCCGTACACTCGTTTACGCACGGCGCTCCGTTCTCTGTTCTCTGTTCGCGGAGCGCGGAAATACAATTGAGTGCGCCGATGCGACCGCGCTAGAGTGAGAGCCTCGGCGGCCCAGGCAGGCGTGGGTGCGGGCTCCACTGACTCCCTCGCACCCCTGCGGAACGCCCCATGAGTGCGAGAAAGGCAGAAACACTTGTGCGGAACAGTGGGCCAGAAGACCGGAGGGGGCGGACAATCTAGACGCGTTTTGAGCTCCGGGGTCGCTAAATGGGACTCGAACCGAACGAGTGACCCCACCATTGGATTGCTCTCCGAACGAGGAGTCCATTGGCGGGGTCACACCTTCGGTTCGAGTCCCATTTAGCGACTCTGGAGCTCAAAACGCGTCTAGAGTTTTGTCCGCCTCCGTCGGTCTTCTGGCCCACTGTGCGGAATCGGCCTGCAGGTGGGACTCAGGCCGCCTCCAGCAGTTTCCGGAGTGATGGACTGGAAGATTGGTGGGTCCAGCGTCCGGCGCGTCCAGAGACTATCCGGCCAGCCACCGGCAGGCTCGGCTGGGCTTGGCTTGAAAGGCTCGGACACTCCAGTGCAAAATGGTTTCCGACGCCGCCGCTGTCATTCCCCGCGGGCGAGGCGCGAAGTCCGCCCACTCGCGGGGACGTCCGTTGGAGCGACACTGCCAGGGCCGCGACCAGACTGCAGGTTCCTATCAATGACTTGTCGCGTTCGGGCGTCCAGGAATGCAGTGCGAGGGAAGTCCCTCGTTTTCTCCGGCGACGCCCCGAAATCTCCCGGGGGCGCGACGGAGTTGCTGCAATCTGACGATACACGAGGAAGGTGTGGATGCATTTATCGGATATGGACCAGCCCTTGGGCCAGCCTGCCCTGCTTAGTTAGACGGGGCCGGAACCACTAACCAGGCTAACCAGCTTAGCGCGGCCCGCCCCAGCCAAGCCGAGTGCCCCGGCCGCCCGGAACCACCACCGGGAATCAGGCAATAACGACGTTACGGAATACGGAAGGGGCGAGCCGCGATGCCTCTCGCGGCGCAGCATCCACGCGCGGCCTTTGCGGGCTCCCGCACGTCAACGATTGACAGTGCGCCAAGGCCGATACACCCTAAGCAGTTTTCGGACCAGGGGCGCCGGAAGTGTATTTCCTCAGGGGGGGGCAAACAATTTTAAATCCTACGTTCCTAATTACCCCCCTCCCCCACCAAAAAAGGTGCTTAAAAAGACCCTACTCCTTCATGCACCGCCTCGGGAAGGCTTTGACCGCTGATAGTTTAGGAGCAGTGGTCTCGCAAAAATGGTCAAAAAGTGAATGAATTTCAGAAAATCATCGTTTTTGCTGACTTTGAGCGGTCACTGCATCCAATTTATTTGCGGTCAAAGGCCTCCCTCGACGCCTTACTATTCTAAAGACCCTACTCTTTCATGCCCCGCCTCGGGAAGGCTTTGACCGCTGATAGTTTGGGAGCAGTGGTCTCGCAAAAATGGTCAAAAAGTGAATGAATTTCAGAAAATCACCGTTTTTGCTGACTTTGAACTGTCACTGCATCCAATTTAGTTGCGGTCAAAGGCCTCCCTCGACGCCTTACTATTCTTAAGACCCTACTCTTTCAGGCCCCGCCTCGGGAAGGCTTTGACCGCTGATAGTTTAGGAGCAGTGGTCTCGCAAAAATGGTCAAAAAGTGAAAGAATTTCAAAAAATCATCGTTTTCGCTGACTTTGAGCGGTCACTGCATCCAATTTAGTTGCGGTCAAAGGCCTCCCTCGACGCCTTACTATCCTAAAGACCCTACTCTTTCATGCCCCGCCTCGGGAAGGCTTTGACCGCTGATAGTTGGAGCAGTGGTCTCGCAAAAATTGTCAAAAGTGATTGAATCCCCGCAAGTATAGTATGATTGTCATTTCATTGGATGATGTTGATTATTTCACTGGTTACCAACTAGACGCGCAATGATTATCTTGAGTCGGGTACCCCTTGGAATATGCTGTCCCATTTTTACCCCGTGTCCTATAATTGCTCCAACTGACCCTAGGCTCGATTTTCGCAGCTTCCCACCAAAGTCCAGGGGGGGCGATGCCCCCCCTGCCAAATTCCAGGGGGGGCAGCCTGCCCACCCTGCACCTCACTTCCGGCGCCCCTGTTTCGGACGCGGTTCGAGAAAAACAGTAGTAACAACGAGCTAGAAGGGGAGGCGGCCGAAGGGTTGCCTACCCGGCGAGCGGACCGAGAGCTCAGGAATCTTTGAAGGAAGGTGCGAGTAGCCGTCAGGAAATTGGGCCGAAAATTATGCCGGAAGCTTGCAGTGGTGCAGAAACCACGGATGCACGTACAGGACGCGCACGGCCATGTCAGCCCGAGGGAATGCCACAAGCAAGGGAACCGCATTGACCAATTTTGTGCCTCGACTTGTAGGCTAGCACACGCGTTGATAGAAACAGGATAGATATGGATAGACGCTTTTTATTTCAAAGTTAAACTCTTGGGCAGCTTGATTTAGTCTCTCGCCCCTCCGTTCCGACATTGTAGTAGCAGACGAGTCCCGTTGCTAAGCAGCCGAGAAAATGAGTCAGTGGCATAAACGACCTCGGTTTGAAGAACGTCTTTGAATAGTTCAGGATTGTGTTGAGTGTTTCTAATAATATTTTTTTGGGAAATGTATCCTATGTATCCGAGATAGGCACCCTTTTTACCCCAAATTGTTTGTTGCGAACGGTCGTTTAGAAGACCCGCGGTGCGAGCATCAGTGTCACCAACCGAAAGTACAACTCCAGTGGAGGACTTGACGTGCCGACTGGGGAGGCTTCGCGGCACTGGTTTTGAAGACTTCTGTTAAAAATCAAGATGTCATTTCAGTCCGTCGCAGAAGGCGAGGGTGTGCGAGTGGATACTGCCCCTTGCAGAGGACGAGGCCCGCAGTGCGGCGCGCCGGGGCTGGCAGCACTGCATAACAACAAGGGGGCGCCATTCCGAACTGGCATTTGTTTTTGACTAAAAGTGGATTGTGCGAATGCCAGCTTGGTAGGCTAGGGCTTGTCTGTGCTGTCAACTTTGTTTCCACCACCAACGCCCAGATCAAGATCCAAGTTGCAGTCCTTCCATTCCGATTTGGACATGGATTACTACCAGGACTTCAGCGCGGGCGGCGGCAGCGGCGGCGGCTCCGGAGAAGGTAACCAGAGCGGCCAGAGCCAGCGGGGGACAGCCGGGACAGCCGGCATCCCCGGCAAGGACGACGAGAAGAAACTGTTCGTCGGGGGCCTGAGCAGGGAGACTACGGACCGCGAGCTCAAGGAGTACTTCGGCAAGTTCGGCGAGATCGAGAGCGTCACGGTCAAGATCGACCAGTACACTGGGCAGTCGCGGGGCTTCGCCTTCATCGTCTTCAACAACCCCAAGACCATCGACAAGCTGCTGGCCGCCGGGGACCACTACATCCAGAAGCGCAAAGTGGACCCCAAGAGGGTCTCCAAAAAGGCACAGCACGGCAAGATCTACGTGGGCGGGCTCACGCCTGAAATCTCAGACGACGACATCAAGGGCTACTTCTCGCAGTACGGAAACATTGTGGAATTCCAGGCCCCCTTCGACAAGATGAAGAATCAACGGAAAGGTTTCTGCTTCATCACATTTGAGTCGAAAGATCCCATGTTCAATCTGCTTAAGACTCCGAAGCAATTCATTAACGGCAAGGAGGTGGATGTGAAGAAAGTGCGTGCAAATGCTGAGGGTGGTCGAGGCGGCGGACAAAGGAACGGCTATGGACAGGGTTACGGACAGGGCTATGGTGGCTATGACGGCTATGGCTACAGCAACTATGGCAATAGTTATGACTATGGAAATTACGCCTATGATGGCTATAGCTATGACAGCCAAGGTGGTTATGGCGGCAATGGCAATGGGAAGCCCCGCAATCGTCAGTTTTCTAGACACCAACCCTACTAACATCTTTACTGTTTAAGCATATTTCATATGCTCTATATTTTTTATATAGAGCAGAAGTTTTCTTTCTTTTTTTTTCATTTTGGGGTTGAATAACGTGATTGGAGCTCTTTGTTAATTTTAATGTAGGTGTATCTAGTTGTTAGCAAGATTTGTGTTGCATTATGAGATTTATATTTGATACAATTATTTATCTCTTACTGTCTTCATATTATGACTTCTTGGGGCATGTCTATATTTATTATAGAAATGCAGAAGTAATGCTTTTGAACAACTGCCATTAATTTTTGTTTTCTGTTTGAATATCTATGTTAGGACTTAAACATAATCTTTAACTGAGCATTGAATGTTAATAACCATTTGTGTAAATTCTGTGAGAGTGAAGCAGCTTAACATTTTTCATGTCATAAATTTCTGTGTTACTATCTTGTCATCTCATGTTGTTCAGAACTTAATGGTTTACATGCCATCTTAAAGGGAATGATGCTTCAGTAATATTGATCTCTGATATAAGATTGATTTGGAGATGATCACATGTATTTCACTTGTTCATTTATTTTTCAATGTTTTTACATCATTTGCTGTTTTGACTCGTATTGTATTTACATTTTGAGTAAGTGTTGATTCATTTTCAATCCAAGACTGCTATGTTGCTGTGAAGGGAAACAGTGATGTCAAAATGTGATTATTTGGATGTTGCCATTACTAAATATCGTTTTGACGGATAATTGTGCAGTTGTGTGCACCACTGCACTTGTTTGATGTGTGTTTTGAGCTTTAAAAAGGAAGAGTGCATTGCTTGCTATGCTGAATACAAGTTTCCCACACTGCATGCCTTCCTCATTTTTGTGCCATTAGTGGAATTTGGCATGTCTGTTTGTGGTGTGATGTTACTTTGTGATTGATATGCTTTAAACAAGACAACTTTTCCTCAGTGCTATCAGGAGGAAACTTAGCAGAATCTCTCCTTGAAATTATTGGAAGTATTTCATTTTGTTGGTAGAACTTGAACAAAACCATTTATGCGCTACAGTATTTTATGTAAGTTCTTCACTTTCAAATGTGATGGAAGACTGATTACTTAACTTAAGTAATTACTGCTCTTAGCTTTGGATTCAGTAATGAAATCTGTCTGTGTGAAAACAAAACATTATTTAGAACCATGCATGAATAGTTATCTAATTTTAGTTTTTGAGACTTCAGACTTTGCTAGTCAATGGAACAGTAAGTTCTTCAAATTACACAGAAATGTGGTTTATGTTCCAAACATCACTATTTTGATTGAAAAATAACTTTGTTTGTACCTTAGTCATTGCATGTTAAGAAATTTTGTTACTTTGCAAAGACATTGCTTGTTTCATTTCAAAATTTATTTGAACTTTGACTTATTTGTTATTGTTACATAGCTTTGCATTTTATTGTTTAAGGAGTTGCCACCATCCTGATTTATTTTGCATTGTGGAACCACAAATCATCACAGGGTCTAATTTCTGTGTAGTTGAATCTCAAAACCAAACCTCTACAAAATTTCATGTATTGTGATATTTTTCCACTTTGTCTTGAATGTTACTTTTTCTGGATATAATAAATTTATGGGATTGGACTTATGAACTTTCACATTTTCCTTTATTTCTTCTCACAGCACAGAATCAAAACTAAATAAAATAGGTACAGCCTTTGTTTGTCATGGAATGGACAGGAATGAAAGATAAAAAAAGAAGCATGCATGAAATTAATGGAAGTTCAATCATAAAGAACAACCAAATTACAGTTGTCTAAAACTTAGCAGCACTGAAAATTAAAAATCTTAAAAATCTTTAAATATCTTCTTGGAGAATACAATTGAAAGATTGTGGGCAGTCCAGGATAGAGAAACCTACATCAGGCCATCCATGCCAGTCATCCACAGAAGGTTCTGCCTCAGTCACAATATTTTCTACATCAAATTGGCCCTCTCTCCATTCTCCACCTTCACCACTAAGACTAGAGTCAACATTGAAACCCTCACACAAGGCAGTTGTTTGTGCAGGCCCTTCTGCTTGTTGTCTGTTTAAGGCACCTTCAGTAGGGACAGGAACCATATCTGTTACTCTACACCACTTATCTCCAATCAAATCAACTTGCTCTTCTTCATCCCCCAGTTTTAAGGTGAAGCTGGTGGTCTTTGGAAGAATGGGTTCTCCTGTCCAGCCATGCCAATCTTCAGAGGGTGAGGTCTTCTCATCGTCAAGTGTGCAGTTTTCATTCTCTTCTTCTGTCTCATCTTCATCCTCATCCTGAGATAGACCCTGCAGAAAGAAATAAGGATTTAAATGTCTTTAAAAGACAAAGCAGATCCTTTGGAAATGGGAAACAGATAAAAATAATGTACTTTGACTGGTGAGGCACTCTTGTCCCATGGAGCTGGTTCCGGATCACAGCGTTTGAATTCATACTTATAAATTTTGTAACCTGCTTTTCCAACTGCTTCCCAGTATCTTACAACATTGTAAAGCCCTACACAAAGACAACAGGGAAATCAGAAACCAATATGTTATGTTTTAATAGAATTTCAGATCAGAAGTCGTTTTACCATCATATCTATATCCTCTTTCTGGGGCAAATTTACTCCTCAGCTTGTAGCCCCGAATCACTCTGACTGGGTTTCCTGTTTCAACATTTCTTGACAAGGCCAAATTTCCACGAGTTAAAGTTTGGTCCTTTGATTGTGGAGCAGTCCTCAAGTTTTTAGGATTATTGACGGTGCCCTGAATAAATGAAGGAATAGTAGTGAATGTTCATTTGTTATCAGAAGGAAGTGAATGGATTAGTATTTATCTCATCACAGTACCTTGAGATCTCTACCACCTTCACCAGTGTAAGTGAAAAAATGACCCAAGTCCACATCATCTTCATACCCTCCAGAAAGGGCTACAGAGTAGGCCCCATCAGGTCCTTGGTGGATGCCAGCAACAGTGGGGCGATGGATGTAATCGTAATTACAATCCAAGCGAGTTTCCCACCATGTTCCAACCTTAACACCTGGAGTAGAAGAGAAGTATTGTTGTATGAAAATATCTTAAGGAATGCATGTGTAATGTAAAGTAAGAGTTTACCTGTAATAGATCCGTAAGAGTTGGGGCGAGGAGGGCGAGCAAGCTTACGATTGGGTTGACTCAAATTCTTCAAAAGTTCCTTTTCTTTTTCTTCATCATCATCATCATCATCATCATCGTCTTCATCACTATCTTTCAGTGATTCATAGTCCTCAAAGGAATCTTGCTGTAATCATAATAAGGCTGTTAGTCGCTCATAAAGACAGAGACAACAACCATCAACACCTGATGCCCCAGCCCTCCTTACCTGAACTTTCAAACGGATGCGAAATGATGAACGCCTTTCTTCAGGTGGGATGGGCTGTTGCAAACGTTTGGGCTTCTTAGCACGTTTAGTGACACGCTTGGGCTTGGGCTCATCGACTTCTTCTCTTGTGACAGATGTGCTTTCCACTACCTATGAAAGAATTGAAGAAATAGAGACACTCATTTTACATGCTGAATAAAACAGTGAACACGATTAAATCAAGATACGGTTATCGCGAAGTTTGTGACAGTTGTCAAACGAAAATCACATGCAAAAGCTAAATTACCGGTGCTTGAAGACCATAATTCTTCAAGAATTGTGTGTTCTCGTTCAGATTGGCTCTCCTCATCTGCTGGTACGCAGACAGAGCCGCCATGGTGCCGGCTTAAATTGTAGATTCGAAAGCTAGTGACAAAATTGACTCAAACGTCAATTGACGCTTACGCTAAAATACAATACGGAGAAGTGTTTACAGAAAACTTCAACTCACAACACACAAAGTTTTTCTGTTGATTTTAAGGAGACATGGCGACTGAGGGTGTGAAACACTACGACATGAAATGCCTTGTTCTTGTAGAACCTCTCGATCACTCAGAGTATTTTAAATCCATCACAATTTTAAAATACAAAACTGAAGATCCTTTCTAACACTGTCAATGTTTCTAGGTCGTCTCATTCTCGGCTGCATTAATGATTTCATTTTGGCAGGTGTTGGCAAGTCCGACAGCAGAAGACACAACTGAAAAACAAAAGAACGTTAGCGCGCGAGACAGGAAAAGAGGGGGAGGGGGAACTGGCGGTAGGATACGACCTGAGGGCTGAATAGAACAAGTATTCACGCTAGGGTATTTTCGCAATAAATAGAAAATAGGTTACGAGTGGCTGAGGATTCCTGACGGACAAAAATATTCGTCTCTACTATCCCACTATCACTAGATTCCAATTTTCCTGTATCTCTCAGTCTAGTTACTCTGTATTTCTTGTGTACAGGTACAATTGGAGCCCCAGCAAGAGCAGGTTCCACTTGAGTCCAGTTTGTGGGCAAGTTTATGTATATTCTTCAGGAACTGTACTTATCAATTACATACTGTGATTTGCAAGCATACTGAAGGATGGTAAGAAAATGAAATCTATAATTAATTAAAAAATTGACATGACTTTATTTAACTTTTGAGGACTTCAGACCTAAACTACTACACTGAGCTGAGCTGCAATAGAACTATTTGGTAAAAGCAAGATAAATAGGAATCATAAAAATATTCCACATTTAAAACAAGAAACTGCCACCGTCAGATGAGTCCAAGAAATAAATGATTTGTAATAAAAATTGTAAAAAATACTTTTATGATAGACATAGAAATCATGTTCCATGCAAATAAATAAAACATTATAATGCTAAATATGGAAGTACAAGTAATGGTTAACATTTTAACACACATTAGTATCATAAAATTGCAATAGGGGATGATTTTTTTCTTCTTATTCCTCAAAAGTAGAGGACACTACTCCACAAATCCCACTCACAAGCAAGAGCAAGGAAAACAAACACAAGAAAGCACCATAAAGTTGGGACAGTCATACATACTATATTCAGTCACAATACAATGGCTTTGTCTATTAAGAAGTAATGTAATAAATAGAGAGATTCATGAAGGTGAATAAGCTACATGAACCTGCTTGGAGGAAATGCACGAATTTCTGACAAGACACCTTTAGTGTTTAAAAACAGATTCAACTGAGACACATCAATTTAAATGCAAGATGATACTTGAGATCAATATATAATCAAAATTGCACCAGGATAGTTAGTTGTGTCTACTGTCAAACCGTTGAATGAGTGCTGAAATACATTTAGCAGCAATAACTGCAATGGATAATACTGTAACACAAGAATCTGATTCAAATTAGAGCCAAATGGTGATGTATTTTCATCATCCTGATGCTATTCTAAATTTATTGGAATGAGGGCATGGTGTGAAAGTATAAAAGTTAATTACATTAAAAGAGTGGGAGGAAAAGCAAAACTAAACTTGCCACATCGTACAAAATTTTGGCCTACAGTTTCCTACACTTAAACAGTTGCCACAATGGTACTTATTTCCCAAATGAATAAGAATGAGTTTTACTTTTAAAAAAGTATACAGTTAAAACAAATAAAAAGGGGCAGCACATGACATGAACTAGAGTACCGTAATACACCAAAACAGTAGGCTTCTTGAAAGGAAACAAAAACCAGAGGAGGACTATTGGAAAATTCATTATCCTTGTCTGCAGAGCACAAGTATCAAACAGAAGCATACATGCAGAGGTATGCAAAATTTACTTCTTTTTGCTCTTGCCTAGAGTCAAGGTGTGGTGGCTAGAGCCTAATGCCTGCTGCTGAGCAATTTGGGTTTTGCGACGATTGAACTCAATTATGTCTTCTTCCAGGGTCTTACGCAAATCATCCAGTTTACGCTTCTCTTCTGAATGATCTTTCTTGAGTTTGTCAAACTTGGAGTGAAGCTGAAACACAAAATCAGAACAAGTTGTTAGTTTTGTAAAGACTTTATGTAAAATGATTGGATTGAAAAATAATGACACAAGAATCTTACATCTTTTTCCTCGTCCTTCAGTTCCTGTTCCTTTTCCTTGACACGGTTGACAAACATTTGTCTCATTTCATCTTCTTTCTGCTGGAGCTCTTGAAGATGGTGGGAACGCTTTTGTTCAAATGACTGCTGGAAGCTAACTGGCTTGTTGTCAGAATCAACATCAGTGAAACCCATCTATAAAACACATGAAAGACTGGTTACCGAGTACATCTGACCAATTTTTATATGAAAGATACCAAACAGACCAAGTTTATTACCTGTTCAAGACGTTTCTTCCTATACAATTCATAATGCCGCATGTGAGTTTTCTCTCTCATGTCTTCCATGTTGGTCCTGATCAACATCTCCCGCAATTTGACAAAATCACAATGACTTTCATTTTCAACTGTAAAGAGAAAGATATTATTAAATCAAAGTTTACTTCTAATTGAAATAAAAGCATGCGTATTTAACAGGACACATATTCCAGTACCTTGAACAGTTCCCCAAGGATACTGCCTGGATCGCATCATTTTGTTCCCCACTCTAACAAAGTCTGTACTTCCAACAACGGCAAAGGGAACATGAGAATTCATTTGTGCATTGACTTCAGTCACATTTTCATCATCAGTTGGAAATTGGTAGATCTGGACACCGTTGTTAGATAGTTCATGGACAATCTTTTCCTAAAGAAATAAGGGAGGATGACCATAATGATTAAACAAAGAAAACAAAAGCAAAGAAGCAAAAAGATATTTGAGAACAACAGAACAGAACAAATCACCAGCATTACAAACCTTGAACTTTTGCAACTCTGTTTTTGAAATGGTGTCAGCCTTGGCAATGATAGGTATGATATTCACTTTGGTATCCAGCTTTTTCATGCACATCAAGTCAATTGATTTCAATCTATATCAAGAGAAAAAGAACATTATAAGGTTGTTGATGTAGTTCAAAGGACTTTGACAAACAGGATATAATACACACCCATGACCAGTTGGACAAATGAAGTAAAGACAAACATGAATGCGGGTATCATGGAAAGTTGCAAGAGAACGTTTGATCTTCAACTCTTCTTGGAGGTAGGATTCAAATTGAGCATCAATATAATCCACAACAGCTTTGAAGCTATCTTCTTTGTTGATTTGGTCACCATAGCCAACTGTGTCAACAATAGTCAGCTGGAAACAAAGGATACAATTTAATTTCAGGCCAAACAACTGCCAAAAAAAATCCATACAAAAAAAAAATCACCTTTAGGCGGACATTGCTTTCTTGCAGCTCATATGTGTGGGCCTTCAACTTGACCGAGGGCAGAGAGTGTGGGCTTGGAGAGGACTCGAAGCTCGTGTTGAATAAGGAGTCCATCAGTGTTGACTTTCCCAAACCAGTTTCACCTATGAGAGAAGTACCAGACAGCTGACTAGTTCTGAAGGCTGGGATACAGAGTAATTGACAAAGCTAGTTATAAACTTACCAATACACAGAATGTTGAAGATGAATCCATTTTGAACAGACTTGTTGACGAGCTGGTCTGGCAGACTGTCGAACCCAACATGACCTGAGAGCTTCAGGTTGCGTATGGGACCATCAACCTGCAAGTTAAAATTCCAATTAAAAATAGTCAGAAACTGAAGTGCTGCTACCATTGCATTGACATGCCTGCTGTGCTGGTGAACACTACAAGTGCTACATCACATGCACAAATTTTCTATGAAAGAAGCTCCTTACTAGTGATACTACCCATGAAATAAAATACAATTTTTTCTTAAACAAAATGCTGAACAGAAAATATTGCTGACTTGAAATTACAAAAGCTCCACAAGTCAATTATTAAGGAGTGTGTGTGCGGTCATCCTGTCAACAGCGCAAGCAGAATTTCAAAATACTGCAGTAACTAATAGGTGCAACTACACATAATCAAAAAACAGGTGCTAGTCTCCATCTCTACTACAGGCCAATCACTATGACAGGGTTTTAGATCTCTGCTATGCACAGGCACAAGGGCAAGTTATACCAGCGACTAGAAGTAAGTGACTAATTGAAGATGACTGTTTTCGAGTTCAGCGTACCTGGCGTACCTTCCCGACAACTGGCTTAGTTGACGGATCTGGTAATGGAGGCTGTGAATGGAAAAGCAAATGTGCTATATGTACACACAAATTTGGAAGGGACTATACATTATAGGGTGTATTGGTTTCCAAAGACTTGTACAGATATTACAGGGGTAAAGCCAGATAATTCAAGTATTCACAGTATTTCTAATCTACGATGGATGGGATCAAACCACGGGAGGCAATGATATGATGGAAAATGAAGAGAACTCGATTTGCAAGCCCTTCAAGGCCCACTGAATCATTCATGTTCGAATATAGCCGTTCTAACCCATCCCTGTCCCTCTGACATTAGGAGGTTAGGTACGAGTACATTGAAACTGGGCGTTCAGGGGAGTCTGGAGCGCCAGTGGAGTACAAACTGGAGCCAGAAACCGGAACGCAAGGAGGTTTCCCGAACCAGATGGGGACTTTCAACACAATTTGCTACTTGACGAGGCGGATGGGCGCTGGCCCGCCGTCCACCGCTGTCAGACTCGGCCCACTTCAATCCCGCAAATAAACTCCGGCCGAGGAATCAGAAACCCGCACTTGGTGAAGATCGCGTTTCGCCCAGCAAGCAGATCACACGGAAAATAAGAGGGAGCAGATACCTTGAAGGAACTTACGCGAATCCTCTCAACCTCCGCCGATGCCATTTTTGTTTTGAATGCTGGCCTTTGACTGCGGAGCGGTTTAGGGCGTATATAAGCGGATGTGGGGTGGGAGGGGAGGGAGGGGAGGGGAGAGGGCGGGGGAGGGGGAAGGGTAAGGGTTGGTGGTAGAGGTTCGCCGTTCCACCGCTAGAGGGAGCTGCTTGTCACCCGAACGGGAACGGCGGAACAATTCGAACACCCGTTTTGAACGCCCTCCACCCCAATTGCGAACCACATTTTCTATTTCAAAGTTTGCAGTTCTGCAAAACGAAAATAAACTTGAGAAGATATTGAAAAATTGGGTACCGGATCTGCTTGTCGACGCAGACCGGTAGAAAGTAGAAATACCTGTCGAGATAACGTTTTCCTAATGTTGACATGTTTTCTGTGCAGGCCATTGTCAATATATGTTTGGGTTATGCTTGTAAAGACATTGGCAGGTTCACGCCACAGTGTCCGCGCCGTCCTGAACGGCGATCGATATTTTTGAAAAGCGCGCCTTCTCCAGGGAGTCACTAGACACCTGTCGTTCTTTAGCCAACCTACCGGTGTGGTCACGTACCCGTTCTGCATCGCGAGACGTCGACATGGAGGCCCAGGACGTTTCAGTTTCTCGATTTCAGATTAAAATGCATACCTCAGTAAAATAAAGAGACGAGACCACCGTAGCCGCGATGACGATTTGTCTTCCAGAGCAGGACCTTTTTGGGCCCGAGTTCCACACGGTTGCTGTTATCGGTAAACCTGTCAGTTTCCAACATGGAAGATGAGACCGTGTCTGGCTATCATGTGACGGTGCGACTTTGGGCTTAAACTTGGATTTGCAACGCGATTTGCTGTGTGTTTCGGGTCGCGAGGGCGAGCTAAGGACTCTCGGCAGCCATGGCGGAGTGCGCGCAGGGCGCGGAGCTGGCGCTGGCCGACATCAAGCGGCCGGAGGAGGTGGTTCGCATGGCCATGACGGACGGACTCAAGTTCGCGGTGCTCATCGGGCTCATTGAGGTGGGCCAGGTCTCCAACAGGGAGGTTGTCAACACCATCCTGCATCTGGTGAGTCTTGTCCACGCCCGTGCTCGGCGTCGCGCCTCCCTGGCGCCTCGGTCCGCTCCGCGGCGGCCGGGATAACGCGCGGAGATGCCGCGGGAGCCAGCAGAAGCCCCGCGTCGCTGCCAACCAAACACCCACTGACGTCTGCACTCGGCTGCTGCTTCTGACCACTTTTACCGCCAGACGGCGTCTTAGCGCCTTCTGTTCTCACGGGCACGTTCGGGGCGGCTTGCCGGACCGCTGGGTGGCTTGCGTGGTCGCCCAGCGCCGGCCTGGGGTCTGTTGACGAATTTTAAATGTCAACACGAAGAGGTTATGATGCATTTTAGGCTTTGTTTTGATTCTCGGTTTGCCGGCTTTTCCGCCCTTTCTCATGCGATTTCGGGTAAATAGTAACAGAAAGAAGTTGAGACATTTGCATGGTTGTTGATTTGTGCGTGGATTGGCATACTTTTCATTCATTTTTCCCCAAAACAAATGCAAGTTGTCAACATTTTGACAGCTGATGGAACACAGCCCACCATCAATATCCATGCTGTTGTTGGTTTCTCTCTGGCCTCTTGAGTAAATTTTTGAGCGGGCCTAGTTTCTGCATTTTGTTTCAACTAATTCACTTTGTCAGAAGCAACAAAACTGTCGTTTTTAAAACGACAAGCTGTCACCAAACTCCATGGTTGATGTCACTGTCACTTTTGGTACAACTTTGATTACTCCTGGAGAGTTTGACTCAAGTGTATAATAGAACTTATGTGTTCTGTGAGAGCACTATCTTTGTTAATGAAGGATTCGAACTGAGTCAGCAGAGGAAAACCGCAATTCCAAATGTATGTGTATGCTGCGATCATTTTAAAATAAAAGTGGTTTCAAAGAAGAGAAAATACGTCTGACTTGTTGTTCTTATCTGCGTTGCCTGTCAAATCCTGCAACAACAAAGATAATGCTGTAGCGTTGTCGCACCCACTGCAATATCAGTATTTATAGCCCGAGATAAAATAATTTCAGGAAAAAACCCTCGATCCGCTGAAGCTAAAAATTAAACGCCAAAGCTCTAAGCCTCTTTCTCTTCCTTTCCTCATGACAACGTGACATTTTCATGTAAGTTGTGGACTCCTAGGGGAAACATTTCAGAAATAATGCTGTCCGGCTCGCAGCTCGTGGTCCAGTCCAGTCCAGTCCAGTCCAGTCCAGCTCGTGGAGCAGTCGATCCGAGTCGATCGGTCTGTGTGTGCATGACCTCTGGCAGCCTAGACCGGTCATTGCTCATTGCTTGCTGGGCCCTCACTGGGGCTTGTTGGAACAATCGCCCCCGCCCCGCCACGCCCCGCCACGCCACGCCACGCCACGCCACGCCACGCCCCCGCGGTCCCATAGGCACACCTATTGGACAGGGCGTTCCCGGCCCGCCCTGCATTCGCCGCGCTTACAGTGTGCCATCGTCAATGTCTGCCCCACCGCCCTGTCACGTGATTCCTGGATGCGCGCATCGGCCAGGACTTCACGTGTGTGTGTGTGTTTGTTTGTTTGTTAGTGTGTGTGTGTGTTTGTGTGTGTGTGTGTGATGGATGTGAATGTCCAAGTCAGTGCCCCGACATGTGGCACGGCGGTACGGCCCGGCGGTACGGCCACGGGGAGCGGTTCTGCTTAGTTCCGCTGATTAGCACGTGGTATGCTTATAGCGCCTCTCCCTCTCTCTCACTCGCAACCGCAGGACGCTCCGTGAGTGCGAGAGAGACGGCGTGCGGGGCCCGTGCGTAAGCGAGAGCCGTGGCAACCCTCTTGGTCGTTGGTCCTGGTCGTTGGCAACCCTCTTGCAGCGTGGCGGGGCGTGGTCGGAGAGTGCTGCCGGTGGTGCAGCGGGCCTGCTTTTCTCCAGTGTGGTAATGTGCTTCTAGCGCCAGGCTCCAGCCTGACGGCGTGTCGTGTGGGTTAATTGCGGGACCACCCCGCTAACTACCCTCGTCGCGCCGCCCCGCCGCCTACGCCGCCTTGGGCGTCTCTCTCGCACTCGGGGGCGGCCACCACGGCCAGTGCGGCCAGCGCGGGTGCGACAGAGACAGAGCGACGCCCTGGCCGAAGTGGGTCGCTATGTGTGATTTGTGGAGGGCACCGCGGGGACCAACCCTGTGGGGCAAGGGTGGGGAAGGGCTTCGTCGCTCTGTCTCTCTCGCCCGCGCAGCTCGCCCCGCGAGTGCGAGAGAGACAGCGACGAGCCATGGCGATGCACAGTGGGCCAGAAGACCGGTGGAGGCGGACGAAACTCTAGACGCGTTTTGAGCTCCAGAGTCGCTAAACAAGCCTCGAACCGAACGTGTGACCCCACCAATGGATTCCTCGTTCGGAGAGCACATTGGTGGGGTCACACGTTCGCTTCTAGGCCCCTTTGGCGACTCTGGAGCTCTGCCCGCGTCTAGAGTTTTGGCCGCCTCCACCGGTCTTCTGGCCCACTGTGCGATGTCGATGCCAGGCCGCCTCGCCCGGCGACCTATCCGACGGGCTGGCGGCGCGGCGCGGTGCGGCGGCGAGGCAGACTTCTTCATCTCGTTAGCACTGCACACTGGAAAAATGAACGGAGACGCAGAGCGCACGGCCGAAAAATACTTTTCACAACAAGTGTTTGGGTCAGTTCAACGTAGAACTTCAAAATGAAGGTCGCAAAATTCGGGCACCAATTTTTTGCCGACGTTCGATGAGTCGTCCGCCATTTTTCCACCGGGTATATTAGGACGGCAACGCGCACGTTGAAAGCCCCCCGCCGCGCCGCGCCCGTCAGCAGAGGCGCCGCGCTCGGCGCGCCCTCCGCGAACACCGAACTTCTACACGCATGCCCGTGGCTTCATTTTCGCGCCGTGTCTGCTATATGTAAACACGGGGGAATTGAATAAAAAGTTGCGGCCCTGTGAAAAATGTGGGCGAGGCCGCGGTGGCGTGGCGGGACGGGGCGTGGTGGAGTGGGCCAAATTAGGCCCGTGCGGGATATAATGCGCGGGGTGGCAAGCCCTGCCAAGCCCGGCAAGGCGGCCCTGAAGCAGGGGCCGTCCGCCAAGAGCCTAATTAAAAGGAGCGGTCCCCGTGGCCACGTGGTCTGGCGGGGGTGGTCGCGGGTCGAAAGTTCCGGGTTCGATCCTGGGCGAAGGCGCGGTATTTTTCGTCCTCGTTGTGAGGGTCGTTTTAGCAGTCGGCCAATCCATCACACGGTGGTGATGTCAAAACGTGAAAGTTCCAACACCTCGCTAGGAATTTTTTTTTCTAATTTTGAAACTGGCGGCGTGCGATGACTCCCTTTTACAGCGTGGTGCCGCGAAAATGAGGCGCGGAAAGGAGGGTCTAAATGAATGGTCTCCGTTGAGTTTGGCCGCTATAAGTTGCCGTCATGCTCAGCTGGGCCCAGACCTTGGGCCAGGCCTTGCACAGTGGGCCAGAAGACCGGTGGGAGCGGACGAAACCCCTTGCGCGTTTTGAGCTCCAGAGTCGCTAAACGGGACTTGAACCGAACGTGTGACCCCACCAATGGATTCCTCGTTCCGAGAGCAATCCAATGGTGGGGTCACACGCTCGATTCGAGTCCTGTTTAGCGTCTCTGGAGCTCAAAACGCGTCCAGAGTTTTGGCCGCCTCCACCGGTCTTCTGGCCCACTGTGCCTTATGGGCCGGGCGGCCGGGAGAGCGCTGGAGAGCCTCCGCGATGTGCGCCCCGGACTTCAGGCCCTGCTCGCCCTGCCCTGGTCCCTGCCCTGGCCGCCGCGGTGGCGTGGCGGTGGCCAGTGGGAGATAAAAATACCCTGGAAGTAAAAATACTACCGCGACCGTGGAAGGAGAAAAAAGAAACCCAGGAAGCAGAGGGGCCATTAGAGACCCAATGTTTTCCCAGGGCTGGGCCTTCCTTGATCCCTGCTGATCCACACCTTGCTGATCCCACCCCGATCCCACCCCGATCCCGCCCCGATCCCGCCCCGATCCCACCCCCACTGCCCTTCGTTACGGCACTTGTTCTCGGCCCACAAGGGCGGGGTGATGATCAAGGAATAAATAATAAGGTGAAAAACGTGTGGACGGAGGGCGCGCATGCACGACCGTGCGTGAGGGCACTGCGAAACGCCCGGACAGACAGACAGACGGACGGACAGACAGACAGAGGGGCTTTTGGGCCGACTTCTTTCAATCGCGGGTCAGCACTACGTTGCAAGGCGGGCCAGGCGGGCGAGGCGGTGTCGGCGTGACATGAACCTTCAACACGCCACCCTCGGGGGAAAACCACCAAGCCCTCGTCGGACTGGGGCGTGTCTTGGCCTGCTTCTGACAGTGTGGACGTCAAAGTTTTAATAATGAATAAGACGGGGCTGCGACCCACTGCTCTCTGTGGCGACACTGTCTCCAGGGACCGCTGGGGGGAGAGGAAGGAAGGGTTGCGAGGGGTGGCCACCACACTGCTAATGACGCAGCCACACCTGCGCACATCTCGAGCCTTTCTCTTGTTGTTGTTGTTTTTTTGTGGTGGGGGTGATTATTGGTGGTGGCGCCATGTGAAGTGCAGCTTTGTACGGCGGGGCTTGCCTTGCCGGGCCTTGCTGGCTGGGCTGGCTGGCTTTGGCTAATCCGTCTGCTCTTTGGCTGCCGCGCGGCTGCCGCGTGGCTGCCCGGCTGCGGCCTGTTTGAGGTAAACATCATCAGTGTCCTCCCCGCCAGCCAGGCTGCCAGCCAGCGCGTCCCCTCAATCTCCTTTTTTCCTTTCTCTCGTCTGGGGATGACAGCGGAGCCGAGCGGAGCACAGCGGAGCAGCGTAGCGGCGCCCCCTTTAATCTCGCAGGAGACTCTGCTGCACAGTGGCGCAACACACTGCACACTGCCTCGGCGTTTCGTGTGTTTATTACCCACCACTCGCCTCCCGCCCCTCGCGCGGGTTCGGCCAATTTCGTTTTGCGTTTGGGCCGCGCTGCAACGCAGCACCGGGGCAGCCGCTGACCCGTGCGCAAAAAAAAAGGCAGAAAGGACGCAGCCGAGGCGCCA